AATCAGCCTAGATTTTGTGCTAAAATCTCTGGACTTGAACCCCCAAACCTCTGACTCAGAGGTGACAATGTCACAGTTCATACCCATACCCTTACTCTCAGCAGCAAATGCTCCCACTGAATCATAGCTGACTTGTACACTGAGCTTGATCTGGTCCAGTTCAGTTTGGCTCAACAAGTGCTACTGATTAGGAAAGATAGTAATTCATTTTTGTTCCAAAATATGATCTGTTTTGATGTATTCCACGTTAAATCAAAAAGAAACATGTTTAACGAGTTTGCAGTCTATCACAAACTTTCTCATTATCAGTGCTACTCTCAGCATTTCTCCAATGTTGGCATTTAAGTATAGAGTATAGGTAAGCCACCAGTTTCCCATTGTTATTCAGATTTTGTGGCACATTATCTTACGCATGCTGCCAGTGTCAAACATAGGAGTAGCAACATCTGGACAGTACAACTGCAGATCCCTAAAGCTTAGTTCTGCCAGCTTGCAGGCAAGCCCACTGGATTTAGGTGAGATGTGTTCCTATCAAGGGGAACTTGCATGTTCCACATCAGAGAAATATACCACTGCAGACTCACATTTCTCAGCAGGTGGGCTTCGTGACACTTCGATGTGACAATGGATTTCTCCATCTACTGGGTGTACCTAATTAATCAACAAACACTTGGCCTGAAAAGCTCTGCTTTCGAAACAAGGTTAGAACCAACATTTGTTTTTTGCTCTCAACCCAGCTGACCTTGGTTAAGAGTACAGAATTCTCAATTAATAACTATCTCAAAGAACAGGAAATATACAAATAATAATCCAGACTCAGAAAGCGGGAGGTGCAGTAAAGTGTGCTAGATTTAAGATGCTCCCATTCTCCAAACTAAAATTTAACATTGGATCAGAGGTAAATAATCAATACAGGGCCTCATTGTATTAGTCTAAAACAAAAGGTTGACAACAAGAAATGTGATCAATTCAAAGCATAAAGTTGTTTGTTCCTAACATAAAGTGGGTTAAGACTCTTAAAACATGCATTTAATATTATAAAGTAAGGAAGTATGCTTTACAAATTGAAACTACATGAAGGAATAATCAAACACATTTCAAGAGATGGCACTTAATTTTATTGGATTAAGAGTGTTGGAAACTGTGTTGGCTTCCCAAAGGTATAAGGGGCATTTCTTTTTAAAAGAAAAGCTTTCATGGAATGTGGATATCAATGGCAAAACCAACAATTGTTGTCAATCCCTAATAGTCCTCAAAATGGTGGCGGTGATGAGTAGTATTCTTAAAACATACTCAGTTAATGTGGTGTACGTGGACTCACAATACTTGGAAGGGGAAAAAAAAATGGTTGAAATTTGTATTTGCAAGAGCCCAAAGTGAGCCAGAGAACCATCAGTAGTCCCTTTTATACCTTGTCTGATTTTCTATTCCATTGTCTTCACTTGAAAAGAAAATGAAGAATGGTGTCACAGAAGTTAGCAACTAATTATTTTTGAGTTTGTCAAATTGTCATGGTATATTTCAATCACTATATTCGCCAAGAGGGTGAGCAACCAATATGATGCAGATCATCAGGAGCTTAAAACAAAAGATAGGTTTAGAAAGTTGACATTATTCACTTAGGTAAAGAAGGGAATCAGAGGTAATCTCATGGGAACGTTAAGCATACATAGAGGATTGTCCCAGGCAAATAGTTTGCAGTACTAGAGACAGGAGACTGGCAAATTAACAAAGAGAAAGTTAGGTTTGTGAATATTGTTACATCGAATCTTTTCACTCATAGAAAAACAAGCTGCAGAAATTAATTAAAACAATACTAAAAAAAAGCATATAAATGGTTTGCAGACCCAACTTCATGCAATCTTGTTGACTGAAAGGATTTACGGTTAGACTAAGAACACATAGGTGAGATTTGAGTATCAAAAGCTGACTGATTGATAGAATATTCCTGTTCATAATATGGAAAGCAAAAACAATTGGACACTATAAAATCATTGATGTACACAATACATGAGTTGTTCACTGTTGCAGTTATACTTGTTCTGCTTCAGAAGGCTAGGTGATGACAGACTGACTTGAACCTGAATCAGTACACACGCTCTATAATCCTTGAATTACAGAGATATACATTACAAAGTAGGCCAGATTCATTCAGATGACTAGATGAAAAACATGTGCCAACAGCACAGGTCTGATTCCTCTCCTGGCTTGGGAGCTGCCTTCCTAAGAGCGGAAGGCAATGGCAACAGATCACAACAAAAACTGCCAAGAAAGTGGCTCAGGTTCAAACATTAGAAGACAATGAGCCAAGGACCAGCCTGCTGGCATAGCTGAGATAATGATAGATGACAAACACTCACCTCCGAACCCAACCAACTGCTCCAATCTATTTCTTTTTGGAAACAAGTGAATCCGCAGTTAATCCCCGTTGCTTGAATAAATAATCAATGCAAGGACAAGTATCACCATTTTAAATATTTTAATACAACAATACGAAAGGGGAAAGAAAATTAGCAGTTAACAAAGAGCTGCAGGTTACAGTAAGGAAAAAGAATTTAAATTGAACAGCCTTCATACGCTAATCAGTTCATTATAGAGATGAGGCAGCCCATCATTTCATAGCTACTATTTCTATAGTGATTGAATTCTGCATTTTTCTTTAAATAGACATCACCCAGGTGAAGGGACAAGCACCAAGACCAAAGGACACTGCCAAGGTTGGAAAGAATAGGAAAGAAAAGGTAAATTGAGATCAAAGAACATGTGATGCTGACTTGTGTTTGAAAAGATAAATGAGCAGCTAACTCCAGCACATAAAAGGTGTTTTCAACATCGGAAAAGTTTTAATTGCAATAAGTCTAAAGAAAAGAAGTCTTTACAACAGTTGTTAGGTCAATCTTAAATGCATGGGGGAACAGAGCAAAACCGTACAGTGCATATATCCAAATAGAGTCTCCCAAGCACTTGCGAAATACAGAAAGCATTCAGCTGAATAAAACAGGGTAAATTATCAAACTCAAACATTCGAAGAATGAAAGGGGAACACCAAAAAAGTCTTCTCCCAAATGTCAGGGGGCTGAAGAGAAGTCAACAGGACTTTTGTCAACCATAGGGGAAGTAGGTTGCTGAAATGCTAAGCATATTCCCTTAACATGTTAAACAAGAGAATGCAAACATGCAAAACAATATTTCTTCACCTCACACCTGTCAATAGGAGAGGCAACAGAAAAGAAAGGCAACAAAAATACAGTTCTTTTTTCTGTCTGGAGTTTGAATGATCAAATTTACTGGCCCATCGTCCTGGATTCTGGAAATGACAAGTCACCTCAATTTAGGTACAAGACTCAAAAATAATTTTGTACATAAATGTAAAATATGTAATATATGATACTGATCTTGGAGCCGGTTTCGTCTTAATTATAAAGTGTTACATGTGGGGAAAGAAAATTGGACATTGAGAAAGTGCAGCTCCTAAAATGGTTGTAATGTTATATAAAACATAGTAATGACACCAGCAGTTTGTTATAATGTTTCAAGGCATGGAGCTCTTACTGCATACTGTTAGCATTTGGAAAATAAAGCTTTTCAGCAGTTAAGCATAGAATTGGTTTAAAAATTACACCGCTCACATTGTAAATGTTTATCTCTAACATATCTCGCTGCAAACACTCTGTCTCAAGCAGCCACAGTAACACACACCATGATTCTCTTCTCACAATTCCTTCATTTACCAAGTAACCCGTTCAAATGACCTCTGATGAACTACAACCTTACATGTAACGTATTGTTTATAACCAGTCATTAATACAGGAAACAGCTAATACATCCGCCCTGTAACACACCCCTTGCTGTAACACTCCCGTACCACAACCTCTCACAGAACACACATCATTTTCCTCATTTGTAGACAACAATATCATACAAGGCTCATCTTCCTAACTACGGCAGAACCTATAATGTGACATGCAATAATTCAGGCTCGCTCGCTGGGAGGGAATATGTGCAAAAATAAAAATTAGATATCTGTAACGTGTTCGTTGATAAAGGCAGACTTTTTTTTAAGCATTGTTTGATAGACAAGATCTGCTGGTTAAATAGTCAGTTTTTACAATTAAAAGTTGATTTGAAGAAATGTCGTCAAGTCCCAAGCATCAGGATTTCATTAAGAGGAGGGAAGTAGGGAACAATGAAAAAAAACAGTTGATCCATTGCTTGATCTGTTAGAAACGTTGAAAAGGATCATTCTCTTTTTGGTAAAGTATTTGATAAATGGGCAACGTTGGCGGGTAAATTGCACCAAATGTTGTCGTGGCGTTGCTAGAGAAAAAAAGCCCTAACCGTTCTAATTACTTGTGCGACACGTAAAAGACACGGATATAGCAGGACTGTTCTCACAACGAGAGAAGCACTAAAGACGATGCCCCTTTAAACTAAACCGCGATTGTGGACGACAATGCAACTTGTAATCCTTAAAACAAAACTGAGCATCGTAAACGAAACGGCTAACCTACTACACCCGCTGTAATAGCCAGAATGCACTTCACATTTATCCCGTTTGAATTTACAATAACTGGGGCAATGAATCCTTGAATTAAAATAAAATGATTTCTTTCACACCTACACCCTTCTTAATAAAGAGTAATCGGATTTCAGGTTCAACTTGAATAAAACACCAAGCATTAGTTTCAATAAAATGTAAATAAAAACATCTTTTCTGCCCATCAGTGTAAAACAAAAATCATTCAATGGCGACATTTTAAATGTAATTTTAATCAAATGCCTAAGTGTCTTGATTAATTCAAGTCTGTTAATTTGATCATCGTCATTTGTTTGTACTGAAAAACAGGTTGATTTATAGTCAATTAAAGAAACTAAAATAACTAGAAACAGTAACACAATTAATAAGGTCTTGTTTTAAATCTATTGGTATCAGATGCTATGATTTCCCATTAACTGCTTTTGTTGCCTTATTCTGTAGGTGGTGCTGATGTTATTCAAACCTTTGTGCATGCCTGTGAATCGGTCCTTCAGTACAGTTAACTCATATATCTTCCCAAATTCCTCAAAGAGGGGCTTCAGGTCATTCTCCTCCAGGTTCCGTGGTATCTGGCCAATAAACAGCTTAATGGCGTCGTGGTCCTTCATCTGGCTGTGGTTGAGCTGAATATCAGCCTCGTTCATGGGTTGATGGTACTGGGGAGATTGCTGCTGTTGCTGCTGTTGAGCTCCGTCTGCCTCTCTCAGCCTGGCCATCGCTTACCAACAGAATGAAGAACACAGGAGGCACCACTCAGCTGTAGAGAGAAAAAAAAGACTTCCTGTTTCAGCCTGTGTGCTCAGTGGTGACACCCCTCGAGGACTGACTGTCTGGAAAAGCTGTTTGTATATTCCCCTCTCAGTTTAGCAGCAGGCAAGGTTTAAAGAGATTGCTGCTAATTAACCCTTGGAAGGCAGAAATGCTTTTCCTGTTGGAAAATGCTTTTCTAGTTTTGAGGAAGGGTCACCGGACCCGAAACGTTAACCCTGTTTTCTCCTCCACAGATGATGCCAGACCTGCTGAGCTTTTCCAGCAACTTTGTTTTTGTTCCTTGTTTCCAATGCTTTTCCTTTGTTTGATCTCTTGTTCAAAGCGTTTGCATAATGTCCATGAAAACAGTTCCAAGTTAATAGAGTGAGAAATCTTAAAAGGGATATATTTGTATCAAAACTAGCCACCTGAACATGGAAAGAACAATTTCAGCCTAGGCACCTTACCGCCGTCAGGACTCAACATCGAGTTTAACAATTTCAGAACGTAAACAGAATTTAAAACAAAGAACTGCGGGGTGCTGGAGATCTGAAACGCAGAAGAACAGAAATTGCTGGAGAAACTCAGCATCAGTCGAGAGAGAAACAGAGTTAACGTTTCGACTTCCGTGACCCTTCAATCATCAGTAAAGATTTTCTGATGAAGGGTCACTGGACTCGAAGCGTTAATTCTGTTTCTCTCGCAACAGATACTGGAAGACCCGCTGAGTTTTTCCAGCAATTCCTGGTTTTGTGACAAAATAGTAGGACAGTATTTACACATTAAAGCCTGTCAGTTACACCATGGACAGTGACATAACACTCAGGCTCAAGGTACAGCAGATAGTCAGGCAGGATCACTCAAAATAGCTTGCACATGTTTACATCCTTAATATACACCCGGGTGACCATCAAGCATAATCATGCAATATCTGGTTCACTGGAGATCTTATGGACACCACAGGGTGTCCATAATGGGCAAAGACCACCATCTAAGGTCTTTCTGCTGAAGTTAAATGGGGATCCATTTCAGTTATCAGATTCTCCCAATGTGTCAAATATATGTGAATATAATCTTGTACAGGTAAGAAATGCCTTGGTATGTTTGCTGGATAGATTCAAAACTCCAATGTTTGTTTGTTTCTTCATATGCTACTGTGCAGAACTGAGCTGCTTTAGCGACTATGTATGTATATAAATAAAGTATATAAATAAAGTATATAAATAAAGTGATTTTTAGGAATAAAGTACACTTTTGAAATCAAAAAAGCCACTTTTGCAGTCAGCACAGAAAAGGACACACACATATATCTCCCAAACTAAAGCAAAATACTGCAGATGCTAGGAATCAAGCACAAGGAATGCTAGAGAAACTCAGGCAGATCTGACAGCATCTATGGAGAGAGAAACAGAGTTAATGTTTCGAGTCCAGTATGACTTCTTCTGAAGTTCAGATGAAAAGACATACCAGATCTGAAATGTTAACTCTGTTTCTCTCTCCACAGATGCTGCCAGACCCGCCTGAGTTTCTCCAGCATTTTCCGTCTTTATCTCCCAGTCAAGTTTAGCAGCCAGTCAATGTTTATTATTCAAGATCACCTTTGAGTGGGCCAAAAACTCCTTTCTGTGCTGATTGCATGATTGTACAAACTAATCAATCTCTTCACACTTCGCTGCACCCCTCCTCCTCCACAACCACCCCCACACCCTCAACCTAAGCTCAAGTCTAACTGAGGGAAGTGAATTAATAAGAGAGCAACTGGTTCTTATCCAAGCGTGAAGATAATGACAATCTGAGAACTCCTCAGAAACCCAAAGAAGTGAAGGCAGAATACAAGGTGTTGGGACGGCATGGTGGCTCAGCAGTTAGCACTGCTGCCCCATAGCATTAGGACCCAGGTTCAATTCCACCTTTGGGTGACTGTCTGCGTGGAGTTTGTATGTTCTCCCTGTGCCTGTGTGGGTATTCTCCCACAGTTTCCTCCCACAGTTAAAAGATGTGCAGATTAGATGGATTGGGCATGCTAAATTGCCCCACAGTGTCCAGGGCTGTGCAGGTTAGATGGCTTGGCCACGCTAAATTGCCCATGGCGTGCAGGCTAGATGGATTAGTCATGGGAAGTGTAGGGGGTTGGTGTAGGTGTAGGTGTAGGTGGGATGCTCTTTGAATGATTGGTGTGGCCTTGCTGGGCCAAATGGCCTGCTTCCACACTGGATGAAGCTAACTTGCAGTTATCAAAATACACACAGCTGATCAGTCATTCTTTGCAATTGGGTTATAGTCAGTTTTCTTCATCTGAACTTCAGGGCAAAAGAAATTGACATAAAATGTTGCATTCCCCTATTTGTTTTCTTCCTGCTATTTTACGCTGACAGAGGTGAGTGATTGCATTGCTTGGCAACAGTACACTTTCCATTTCAGATGCCCGATATCAGCAGCAAGTAATCCCCAGGGCAGCGACTAAAGGTTCCTCCTCTCTGTTCCAACAACGTGCTTCTATACTATCTTCTTAAAAGTATTTCCTGCATGAGTATGACTGTTCCATTCTAAAATACCAGCAATCTCAGTCAAAGATTACCAATTTAATACCAATGGCTCACACCCCACCTCCCCCCTCCCAATGCTCTGGTTTGAGACGGCACAAACCTATTCCACAGAAGACCCTTTCAGCCAGCAGACTTTTATCACCTTGGGCCAGATTTGAACCCTAGCCTGAGGGATAAACAGAGACTATCTGACCGATTGAACCATTAAATCCTCCAATTCCACTCCATGCATCATTGCAAGCCGAACAGGCTAATTCAGCTTGGTCGCCTATCAAAAGTAGATTTATGTCGCTGTCCTCTCAAACTTTGTGTCGACTTCTTCAGGAAATTAACATGTTTGCACAACGGTATAGCTGTGCTGGAAATTTGACCAAAGGGAATGGGTTTATTAACATATGCCCCATTATTTTGTGGCAAAGCATGGACTTTTATTTTCACATTTTTTTTTTATTTTTCAACCTATTCTGATCAAGTAGTACCATTTTAGAAAGAATGATAAACCTGCATTTATATAGCACCTTTCACAACCTTTGAATGTCCAAATGCTTTACTGTAAATAAAGTCACTATTGAAGTGTGAAAGCCAATTTATGCACTACAAGATCACACAAACAGCAATGTGATGTTCAGCAGATTTTAGATCTATTAATGAGTGCCTGGAGTGCACGAGTAAGGAGGTTCTGTTGAATGAAAACCAAAAGAGCTGCAGATGCTGGAAATCAGAAACAAAAACAGAAATCGCCAGAAAAGCTCAGCAGTCTGGTAGCATCTGTGGAGAGAAATCAGAGTTAACGTATCAGGTCCAGTTCCGAGGAAGGGTCACTGGACCCAAAAGATTAAGTATGATTTCTCTCCACAGGTGCTGCCAGACCTGCTGAGATTATATTGAACTTATAGAAAACATTGGTTTAGCCTTTAGTGGCATATTGTGTCCCGTTCCAAGCAAAATACTTCAAGAAGGATATGAAGGTATTGGAAAGAGTACAGAAAAGATCATGGCAATGATTCCAGGGAGGAAGAATTTCAGTAACGAAGATAGATTATAGAAATTAGGATTATTTTCCTTTGAGCAGAGAAGGCTGAGAGGAGATCAGATAGAGGTATTCAAAACCATGAGGGGCCCAGACAGCGCAGATATGGAGAATCTGTCCCTACTCATGAAATAATCAAGAACACAATGGCAGAAATTTAAAGTGTTGGCAAAATAAGCAAAAAGTGTCATGAGAAATGAGAAAAATGTTTTCAGGCAGCGAGTGGTTAGGAACAACAACAGAAGTTGCTGGAAAAGCAAGCACTTAGGATCTGAAATGCTCTGTGTATTGCAGACGGGTTCAATTGAAACATTGAAAGAGGGAATTAAACTGTTACCTGAAAAGAAAGAATGTTCAGGGTTGCAGGAAGATAGCAGAGGAATGTATTGATCATTCAGAGAGCTGGTGCAGAGACAATGGACCAAATGGCCTCCTTCTGTGCTCTAACAATTCTGTGAATCTCTAATTCTGAGATAATCTGTTTTTTTTCAGAGATATTTGGGTTAAGCAATGGGTATTGGCCAATACTCCAGGGTTCCCTGTCCTTCAAAATAATTCCAAAACCTTCTTTAAGACTGCACTTCCAACAGTTCAGCAGTCGTTCAGTATTGCTCTGGAAAGTCAGAATAGATTTTCTTTTATTCTTTTTGATGTAGTCTGTGCTCCGTATATGAATCACACAGGGTGATGTTTATTTCAGGTCTGTTCATCATTGGACAAAGACTGGAATTTGCCTGCCTGTAAATCAGAAACTTGCAAATGGTTAAGAGTTAAATGTTTAAATTCAGGTAGCCAGTTGAGACATGATTATTTTTTCTGTAGTTTACACATGGCAGCTGCTTTTATTAATGATGTTGTTTAATAGCAGTGCTAGCCTTCCTGGTCAAACAGAGATAAGGTACAGAGATGTGCAGCTGCTTGCATTGTCGTTATCTTTGGCTATCCTCTGATTTGAGGACATTGTCCAATGGGAGTCAGAATTTCTGCCTTGGGTCCTTATGCGAATGAACAAGCAGGTTAATTCTCAACTAGCAGATCTTTGGGTGCATGGGGTAAGAGGTAGTGGGATCTAGAAGGCAGGATTTGCTTTGCTTCCTTCATTCTCGGCCATTGCTCTGTCCTTTCATTAACAGAACATGAATCAAAACATGATGTAGCTCGGTGAGTAGGTTGTTGCCAATTTGAACAAATAGTGGCAAATTCTTCCCAGTCATAGAGCCATAAACAGTCGGAAACAGACCGTTCGGTCCAACCAGTCCACGCTGACCATGTTCCCAAACTAAACTAGTCCCACCTGCTTGCACTTGGCCATAATGCCTCCAAAGCGTTTCTATTCATGAATTTATCCAAATATCTATTAAAAGTTGTAACTGTACCTGCATCCATCAGT